CTTTCTTGTTTTTGCCACCTTCCTCTTTTCCCATCTACCTTTTCTCTAACTGTAGCTACAACTAAATAATGATCCACTATATTAGTTGCCCCTCTATAAACATGTACATCCTGGAGCCTACCCATCAACCTTTTATCCACCAATACATAATCTAATAAACTACTTTCATTACGTGCTACATCATACCTTGTATATTTATTTATCCTCTTTTTCATAAAATATGTATTACTTATTACCAAATCTCTTTCTACACATAGCTCAATTAAAGGCTCCCCATTTACATTTACCCCTGGCACCCCAAATTTACCTACTACTCCCTCTATAACATTTTTACGCACTTTAGCATTGAAATCCCCAACCACCATTACTCTACACTTGATTCCAAACTCCCCACGCATTCACTCAACATTTCCAAAATCTCTCTCTCTCTCCTCTACACTTCTCTCTTCTCCAGGTGCATACACGCTTATTATAACCCACTTTTCACATCCAATCTTTATTTTACTCCACATAATCCTTGAATTAATACATTTATAGTCCCTCTTTTCCTGCCATAGCTTATCCTTCAACATTATTGCTACTCCTTCTTTAGCTCTAACTCTATTTGAAACCCCTGACCTAATCCCATTTATTCATCTCCATTGAAACTCTCCCACCCCCTTCAGCTTTGTTTCACTTAAAGCCAGGACATCCAGCTTCTTCTCATTCATAACATCCACAGTCATCTCTTTCTTGTAATAAAGTTGGTAGAATTACCGACAATATGTAAAGTAAAAGGACACAAGTGCAACTAATGTGACATTTTATTGTGGCAACGTTTCGCTCTCCAGGAGCTTTATCAAGCTTGATAAAGCTCCTGGAGAGCGAAATGTTGCCACAATAAAAATGTCACATTAGTTGCACTTGTGTCCTTTTACTTTACATCTCTTTCTTATCATTTGCACAACATCCACGCACATTTAGACTTCCCACTTTGACAATTTTCTTCTTCTTATTCTTTTTAGTAATCTTTACAGGAAAAGGGGTTACTAGCCCATTGTTCCCGGCATTTTAGTTGACTTTTACAACACGCATGGCTTATGGAGGAAAGATTCTTATTCCACTTCCCCATGGATATAAAAGGAAAAGTAATAAGACCAAGAACTATTAAGATAAAATCAAAGAAAACTCAGATGAGTGTGTATAAATAAATGTGTACATGTATGTGTAGTGTGACCTAAGTGTAAGTAGAAGTAGCAAGACATACCTGTAATCTTGCATATTTATGAGACAGACAAAAGACATCAGCAATCCTACCATCATGTAAAACAATTACAGGCTTTCGTTTTACACTCACTTGGCAGGACGGTAGTACCTCCCTGGGTGGTTGCTGTCTACCCATCTGGGGTTTCTTCTGTTTTCTTAATAGTTCTTGTTCCTCTTTATTTCCTCTTATCTCCATGGGGAAGTGGAACAGAATTCTTTCTCTGTAAGTCATGCATGTTGAACATTAAAATGGTATAAAATACCGACAGGTTGTTAGGTAAGACACATATGCAACAGTTAGGTATCTTTATTATGAAACGTTTCGCCTACACAGTAGGCTTCTTCAGTCAAGTACAGAAAAGTTGATAGAAGCAGAAGATACTTGAAGACGATGTAATCAGTCCATCACCCTTAAAGTTTTGAGGTGGTCAGTCCCTCAGTCTGGAGAAGAGCATTGTTCCATAGTATGAAACAATATGGAGAAGAAGTGACAGGATGGAGCTTTTATAGCGCCAGGAGGTGAGACGTAGGCCACTAGGAGAGGTAAGAACTCAGATGTTGAAAGGTTAGGTCCCTCTCAAACCCAGCCCCTCTCACTAGTGGAAGTTGTCGAAGTTGATTGCAGGTCTGTACCAAGATACCCTGTGTTGCAGTGTCTGACAGATTGAACATTAAAATGGTATAAAATACCGACAGGTTGTTAGGTAAGACACATATGCAACAGTTAGGTATCTTTATTATGAAACGTTTCGCCTACATAGTAGGCTTCTTCAGTCAAGTACAAAAAAGTTGATAGAAGCAGAAGATACTTGAAGACGATGTAATCAGTCCATCACCCTTAAAGTTTTGAGGTGGTCAGTCCCTCAGTCTGGGGAAGAGCATTGTTCCATAGTATGAAACAATATGGAGAAGAAGTGACAGGATGGAGCTTTTATAGCGCCAGGAGGTGAGACGTAGGCCACTAGGAGAGGTAAGAACTCAGATGTTGAAAGGTTAGGTCCCTCTCAAACCCAGCCCCTCTCACTAGTGGAAGTTGTCGAAGTTGATTGCAGGTCTGTACCAAGATACCCTTGTGTTGCAGTGTCTGACAGATTGAACATTAAAATGGTATAAAACACCGACAGGTTGTTAGGTAAGACACATATGCAACAGTGTGGCCTACGTCTCACCTCCTGGCGCTATAAAAGCTCCATCCTGTCACTTCTTCTCCATATTGTTTCATACTATGGAACAATGCTCTTCTCCAGACTGAGGGACTGACCACCTCAAAACTTTAAGGGTGATGGACTGATTACATCGTCTTCAAGTATCTTCTGCTTCTATCAACTTTTCTGTACTTGACTGAAGAAGCCTACTGTGTAGGCGAAACGTTTCATAATAAAGATACCTAACTGTTGCATATGTGTCTTACCTAACAACAAGTCATGCATGTCATAAGGGGCAACTAAAATGCTGGGAGCAAAGGGCTAGTAACCCCTTCTCCTGTATACATTACAAATTTAAAAAGAGAAACTTTCATTTTTCTGTTTAGGTCACCCTGCCTCAGTGGAATATGGCTGGTTTGTTGAAAAAAAAAATTATTTCATAGGAATTTCCTTTTCATTCCTCCTTGTGTGCATTTTGCACCTGGACCCCAAAGTATCAGTAAGGCATGTGCAGTCTTCATGGCATAATGTGGCACGTACCACTGCTATATTACATGTTCAAATGCGTGGCTGAGCAACAAGGTTAGTTGTAGCATGTGTGTTTGGTATATGATTACATTTGTCGTTACAGTGGTGCCTATGCTAATCTTCCTGTGGTTTATAAATATGTACCTAGTTGGATGAATCTTATTGTAGCCAGCTGGCCCAGTGGATGGCAAATAGGTTTGGAGTTTTATGACACTGACCACGGGTTCAAGCCCCACCTTTGGTACAGTTTGTATTTGATATAACTGATTATCAGTATTTTAGTGTTTTCTTCTTAGGGTATAAATATATTAGGTCATAAGGCTCATAATTACACAAGACAAGAAATAAAGTAATACAGTACAGTTTAACCTATTTATTATTGGCAGTTTGGAGGGATGTGTTGTGTATCTTTATACGTATATACTTCTAAACTGTTGTATTCTGAGCATCTCTGCAAAAACAGTGATTGTGTGAGTGAGGTGAAAGTGTTGAATAATGATGAAAATATTTTCTTTTTGGGTCACCCTGCCTCAGTGGGAGAAGGCCGACTTGTTAAAAAAAAAAAAAAAAAAAAAAAAAAAAATCAGACAGTTATTTGTTAAAGGCTTCTCTAGTCATGTATAAATTTGAAAACAAAAACAGTATTCATACCTTTGACTGAACAATGACACCTCTACTGAAGTGGCTTGTAAGGAATGGCTTATAATAATTTACTTCATCAAGATAAATACTGTTTATCATTTTTCAGGACTGGAATACATAAAGTGTGTTATGGTAGATGGTCGCATGCAAGGAGCAGTGTTAATTGGCGAGACCGACATGGAAGAAACCTTTGAAAATCTTATTCTCAACCAGATGGATCTCTCAGAGTATGGCGAAGACTTACTTAACCCAGATGTTGACATTGAGGATTACTTTGACTAATACCAAATCCAATAATATTTTAAATCCATTTATCATTAGAGATTAATAGTCACTTATATTTTTCAAATGATTTAATTTATTTTATGATGAGGTTCCATGCTGTATAGCTTTTATTAATGGGGAGTTGCTACATCCATAGAGGTTGCACAGCATCTGGGGCAAATAGGAGGCATTATTATTATTATAATCAAAAAAGAAGCGCTAAGCCACAAGGACTATACAGCATTCAAATAGGAGGCAAATGGTTCAGCCAATGTCCGTCACTCAACATCATACCCCAACTCCATCTCTCTCACATCTATTGATTTATCAAAAAGCACTAAACCCACAAGGGCCATACAGCACTGTTAGGAGCCCTTCTCTGTATAGCCCTTGTGGCTTAGTGCTTCTTTTTTATTATAATAATAATAGGAGCCCTTCATCACTATCAAGGCACTTTTCTTTAAATTAAATGCAATCTTGATCAAATATTTGTAAAATAGGCATAAATGTGTAATACTCCAGTGGCTTCATTATGGAATGAGTTGTGGTTCAGAAGGTCATTTCAACTGTAATGTCTGCCCACTTCAGGCAAGATAGTGAACGAGACCCTTCATTATTATTATAATCATGGGGTAATGCTAAACCCATAGGATTATACAGCACATGTGGGGGAGGGGATGGAAGGTATTCAGGCTTAATTCAGGGAACCAGAGCACAAATCCAATTCCCTAGATCAAGAGCCCTTCACCAGCATCAAGGAACTCCCTTGAGGAGACCAGACCCTTCAAGCTGGGTAAGAAGGTACTTCAGTACTGTTGTGGTGCTCTCGATATAAAGGAATTGGAGTTATCCTTCCCTTTCCTTTAATCAAACCTGATTACCTCCCAGTGCCAAGCACTATATGACCCCTGTGGGTTTAGCCATGACCATATGATTGCTTAACCAACTCTTCCTTTCTGATAGCCCTTCCTACTGATACTATTTCCTTTCTTCAGGGACACAAATTTGCTTTAGCTATGACCACTAGACTTAGCAAATGCCCTTTTTTCCCCCCTTTGCCTGGGAGGTAATCAGAAGAGCATGGTTCCAACTCCTTGGAGCAAATGCCCCCCTAATCAGCATCAAAATCCCCTGGAATTAAATAAGTAGCAAATTTAGGAAGAATAAAAGGCAACAAAACATTTGTGGCTTTATATCACTTCTTCACTCCTACAATGCATCACACTAACAAGCATGACTCTAAAACACCCAAAATTTGTGGAATGAAACTTTCAAATATGACAACCATAGAAATAAATCTACCACCTTTACTGTCCATCCATACATCGTGCATCCTATCAAACTTGGTCATTCATTAACTATACACACATTCAGGTAAATAAACAAGCAAATGTTCACCAGATCACCATAATCCTTAAGTTAATGCAATGGCAAGAGAATTTTAAATCCAGTAATGTATATTATAAATTGTCACATTTTTCCCTTCAAGTCTATAATTTTTACTGCTGCAAATCCCCTCAAGGAAGGTTCCTTGATGTTGGTGAGGGGCTCTTGATTTAGGGAATTGGATCTGTGCTCCAGTTCCCCGAATTAAGCCTGAATGCCTTCCACATCCCCCCCCCCAGGCGCTGTATAATCCTCCGGGTTTAGCGCTTCCCCCTTGATTATAATAATAATAATAATTTACTGCTGCAAATATACCTTATGAAGAATAATAAATATTCTGCAAGTTATGAAAACCAAATTAAGTATATTTCACAGATGTAGGATTGATGTCTGGACTTGTGCAGTTGTGATGGTTAAACTGTGGACACATTGCACTATGTCTGCCTCACCTTAGGCATTCCTGGAAAAAATATTAACGAGAGTTAGACAAATTATTATAATCAAAAAAGAAGCGCTAAGCCACAAGGACTATACAGCTAGAGTTAGACAAAAATAAAGTAAATATTATCAACTGTATTGCCACTTTCATTAATAATGTATATGGTATTCAACCCATCCTCCTAAGCAAAGAAGTTGTTATTGCCCATAATATTGTGCATAACTATGGGGTTTACCATGTAAGACACCAACATTTATCTTTTTAACATGGGTACATTCTTGAAAAACACTTATTACTAACTTGAGATGGTAGGTTTTTTATTGTCATGCTTCCTAAGCACTTCCCTTCATGCATTATTGTATTTATAACTGGTTAAATCTGATTGATATTAACCTAGCCTAAATAGCATATGCAGAGTAATAAGCAAAAACTGTACTATAAATTAAAAAACTTAACATTAGCATTAAGAGGACAGGTTGACACTATTTGACGTATTACAACCATAATTATTAATTGCCTTAAAAACAAGCACTAATCCCATTTGACTCAAAAAGTTTACAGGAGCCTAGAATGTATACCAGCATAGTAAACAGAGCACCTGTGCCATACTAGAGCATTTTATTAACCATTTTGCTCCTAGGTGCTCTGTTCAATTCACAGTTCTAATATTGCACAAGTGTATTATTTACTTATACACAGTTCAGCAAAAATAATGACTATTCCACTTGGGATGCAACCATCCGAGACACAATATGCAACAAATTCTCACATTAATTAACCAGTATGAAAGACTATGCACCATATTTTATTCTTTATGATGTAGGTATGAGATTACCTATATTTTAGATTCACAATTAACCCAATTTACATACATTATATCCTTCTAGTTATAAGAGCAAAATGACCAGAAAATCTAACAAAATTTAAAATGTACAGAAAAAAAAGCTAAAGCTTTTATAAAAAGCTACAGCTGAATTTATTAGATTAAGAAATGCTTGTAAAAAGCATAAGATTCATGCAAATTGACTTATAGATCAGATCCAAAGCCAAAAATAAACAGAATTTTTCATCCCTTTAGGATATTTATTGAACATATTATTATAATAAAAAAGAAGTGCTAAACCACAAGGGCCGAACAAATATATACAAGTTAAAGAACTTGCAACAGATAATTATAAGTCATAGTATATATTGATTACCTGAGTTGGCAAAACCAGAAGATGAAAGAATTTCAACAGCAGTGATAGAGACGTCACACAGAGGCAACGAACACTACTAATATTGCACCTTCCATATCCCACTTGTGTGTTGTAAGTCTTAGAAAGTAGGTTCATTTGTGTGATATATTGAAAGTACAATATAGACAATCCTGGAGAGTATTCAGAGACCCACTATTATATATTTGAAGAACTTTTAATGTAAAATAGATAGCTTGAAAAAATGCTTTAGTTTTTAAAAATTACTGAAAATTTAGACCATACAGCATATATTTGCTATTTAACTCTTTTTACCAATTTTTAAATGTGGAGGAAAAGGGGTTAGAAATTGGTGATGGAATACAGGAAAGCTAGTGAGAAAATGGATGAGACCTTACCTCATTTTACTGAGAACAAGATTCAATATTGGAGGGAAGAGTGAAAAGTTGGTAAAGCCTGGAGTCAAAAAATTTGGAAGTTTAAAAATGATAAGAGGGGAGGTGGATACATTGGTATAATTGAAAGGATATTTTCAGGAGTTGTTTTAATGTTGGTGAAGAAAGGGAGGCAGTAATTTTATGCATTGGGCAAGAAGGAATAACATCTTGGAGGAGGGAGAAAGTGTCACACAATGTGGGGAAAGTGAACTAGGCAGTGGGCAAAATGAATGGGGGAGAAGGGGATACAGCAGCTGGGACAGATGTTAAAAGCAGGTAGTGATATAGGTTTGGAGTGGCTGGTGAGTTTTATACAAGAAGGAAAGTTGGCAGAGAGCATGTATAGTTCCTTTAAACAAGGGAAAAAGGAGGATAAGTTTGAATGCAAGAATTATAGGGGAATAAATTCAAGTATATCAAGTACAGTGTATGGCAAAATTATTATATATCGAAAGTGTTACAGGCAAGTACGAATGTGACAAATACTTAAAGTTAAGGAACTTTTTGTTGCATTTGTGGACTTGGAAATGGCGACCAAAATGTCATCGTAAGCTCCTCTCTCCTATGTGGGGGTTATTTATGTATTGTTCCAGTCACGGTATTGTGCATTTTTTTTATTTTTGGAAATGGCATATGGGGGTGGATAGGAATGCAGTGTGGCAGATGTTGCAAATGTATGGAGGTGGTGGTAGATTACTAAAAGTAGAAGAGAATTTTTCTGCAGATATCGAGGCTCAAGTGGTACATTATTCAGAGCAAAGAGTGGTGGTGACTGCTCAAGTCTCAGTCCACTAATCAAAGAGACACACACACACACTACTTGCATCCAGCCTGTACTTATATCCAGAAAAGGAATAGGACATGCTAGATTATATTTTGATAAAACTGCCTGAAGACTTCTCTGTTGCATCCTCTACCAAGAAGAGCAAAGGATAAACAAAATGCCAATGACCTACATGGATCAATTTATGTTAATATTTGTTAATGATTCTAGGTAGTAGGTTGGTAGACAGCAACCGCCCAGGGAGGTACTACCGTCCTGCCAAGCGAGTGTAAAACGAAAGTCTGTAATTGTTTTACATGATGGTAGGATTGCTGGTGTCCTTTTTTCTGTCTCATAAACATGCAAGATTTCAGGTACGTCTTGCTACCTCTACTTACACTTAGGTCACACTACACATACATGTACAAGCATATATATATACACACCCCTCTGGGTTTTCTTCTATTTTCTTTCTAGTTCTTATTCTTGTTTATTTCCTCTTATCTCCATGGGGAATTGGAACAGAATTCTTTCTCTGTAAGCCATGCGTGTTGTAAGAGGCGACTAAAATGCTGGGAACAAGGGGCTAGTAACCTCTTCTCCTGTATATATTACTAAATGTGAAAGGAGAAACTTTCGTTTTTCCTTTTGGGCCACCCCGCCTCGGTGGGATACGGCTGGTGTGTTGAAAGAAAGAAAAGATTCTGGAAATCATTGCCCCCCTGCAGCCAAGTCTTAAATCACACTTCCTAAATTGATAAGGAAATACAGCAGGCTTCTGACTAATACAATGGTTCCGTTACCTGAAATCACGTTAAGTGGACTAAAATGCATACAGATATGGAAAAAAATAGGGTTATGCTCCTTGGAGCTATTAAAAAAAAAAGCTACAAGGTCAAAAGAAACTAACTGATCTTACCTTCAGGTCTGATTGCTGTTCCTTATTGATATACAGGTATGTAGAGAGGGTTAATGTGGCCCTGTATAAACATATGATAGGCAGTATCAGCTACTGCCACCATCATTTATCATTTCTAAGGCATGGGGAAGCAGGTTTCATGTGTATTCCTTCCACAAACTGAGCAGCAGAATTCTTTACAACACTACTGCACTGGCCCATAACACCACAAACATGCTAAATGCACCACAGTGAAGATCATAACTTCACTACATAAATCTTGTTTAATAACTTTTTTCACACTACCAATCACCAATATACAGTGGACCCCCGGTTAATGATATTTTTTCACTCCAGAAGTATGTTCAGGTGCCAGTACTGACCAAATTTGTTCCCATAAGAAATATTGTGAAGTAGATTAGTCCATTTCAGACCCCCAAACATACACGTACAAACGCACTTACATAAATACACTTACATAATTGGTCGCATTCGGAGGTAATCGTTATGCGGGGGTCCACTGTATTTTATAGTTGTACAGTGGACCCCCGCATAACGATCACCTCCGAATGCGACCAATTATGTAAGTGTATTTATGTAAGTGCGTTTGTATGTGTATGTTTAGGGGTCTGAAATGGACTAATCTACTTCACAATATTCCTTATGGGAACAAATTCGGTCAGTACTGGCACCTGAACATACTTCTTGAGTGAAAAAATATCGTTAACCGGGGGTCCACTGTATAAATACAGCTAGAGTGGGTGAATGAGTGTAAATGATACAGGAATGTTTAATCATAAATGATACGGTTAATATCCAGAGATGGAACGAGGTGACAAAAAAATACAAAATCAATTGAATAACATGTGTAAAGTATGGGACTTGTACAATAAATTCATTGAGAATATTCTTGAAGACAATCTTTAGCTTGTCTTAATTTTGAGCAGCAAGAGCTGTGGTGAAAGTTCAGATAATAATTTGCATAAATACTCCAATAATAGTACAAGAGTCCAATAAAAAATTCCACTGAAGGAAGACAAGGATTGTAGCAGTGTCAATGCCTTAGAATATCATGCCAGTTTGAACATTATAAAATTAATATAGTCTGACCTACAATACGCTGGGTAGAATTAATTATATGATAATTTTAGCAGAAGTTGGGTTAGTTTGCTAAATTAGTTTTGGTGCAAAACTCAGAGGTGTAAAAGAAAATAACTGTTTAACCAGTTAAGTCGCAAAAAAATGATCAATGCATAAAAGACAATATTTGAAGAGCTTATTTAGGGTAGCTGAGGATAAAAAGCAAAACACGCGATTGTACGTCAAGTGCCTCCACATTCATTAGCTATAAAATTGACAGTCTATATAATATTTTTTATTTCAAAGAATGAATCTCCAATTACTTTACAGTATAGTCAGTGGAAATTGTCCCGGTACTGAACAGTCAAATTCCCAAATTCAAGAGGTTAGGATCCAAAAGGTCTCTGAATTCAGAATCTGTGAATACTGTTAAACTGTAACTATATATTAAATTTTGTTTCAGATTTAATCTTAATTTATCTTCAAAGGCTCTCTCTCTCTCTCTAAATATTACTCTAACCTCATTATTATTGACAATGAGAAAAAAAATGTCTACATATATAAAAGACTTGGTCACAGGAATGCTAGTAGCCACATTTTGAGTGAAATCCTATGGTTGGTTTTGACTGCAGAGGTAAAGTGCCAAATAAACAATGGGTACTGCAAAGTAGAATAATCTAAGCTATTCAAGTGAGAGACTTCAGTGAAAACAATAAAAACTTGTAAATTCTGGGATACAACTGTAGTACATGGTTTTAAGAAACGAGTTAGTATGCAGTGCATTGTGTTGTTAGGGAAGTATAATCTGCACAGTACAGAAAAAACTACAAAGCAACCATTCAGCATTAAATATCTAAGGACTTGTTTAGTAATTACAAGTTAGGAAGAAGTGCAGCAGCAGGCAATCAGTACCTTAATTAACAACCCCCTTACTCCAAGTTAATTCTGCTGTTGCTGGGAAAACCTGTAAGACTTATTGTAGTAGGGCCCATACACCATCTTCACCTCCTGCCTGCAAGGCACCCAGAGAAAAGGCTAACTATTACCCTTCTTGGAAGAAAGCAATCAATTGTATTTATTCTATATATGAAAATGCACTAAACCCTTTAGGGTCATAAAGCAGAAAAAGCACATGTGATAACTACCATCAAGACTAATAAACAGGGATGCAAGAAACTATACACAACATTTACTGACATGAGAAAAAATTAATCTATTAATACAGGATATACTGCATCATATAGCTCAATGAATAAAACAAAAATGAAATTAATAAAAATACATGATAGGAATTTAGTTTTAATATTAAGTAAATTCACTACAAGCATTCAATAAGGGAAAATCATCATCAAAACTGCATATAATAAACCCTTTATAAAACAGTTTTTGATGTACTTGTACACCCTTGTTTGCTTTTAAAAATATAATTTTGGAGTGTAGGCTCCTACCCTGGTGCTCGTGTGTGCTGCTGGTCCTGACTCGCTGCTCGGTCAACAAGGAACAGCACACCACAAGGACCAGTGGAGGCTCGATCCTCCATCTGCTAAGAGCAAACTTGACTCTTACAGCAAGATGGAACAATTCAGGGGAAAGCATTAAACCCACTGGAGTCATAAATATATACAGTGGACCCTCAACCAGCGATATTAATCCGTTCCTGAGAGCTCATCGTTAATCAAAATAATCGTTAGTCAAGTTAATTTTCCCCATAAGAAATAATGGAAATCAAATTAATCCGTGCAAGACACCCCAAAGTATTGAAAAAAAAAAAAAATTTACCACATGAAATATTAATTTTAATACACACAAACTGAAGACATGCACAGTTACATGACACTTACCTTTATTGAAGATCTGGTGATGATTGATGGGATGGGAGGAGGGGAGACCGTTGATCTTGTTAGTGTTTAGAAGGGAAATCCCCTTCCATTAGCACTTGAGGCAGCAAGTCTTTTTCTGGGGTTACTTCCTTGTTCTTTTA